TGCAGGTACGGCGGGATCTCGGTAGGCGGCGTGAACTCGCAGGTCAAACTCAATGAATCTGACATTACAGCAGTGATCGACGACCTCAAATCATTCCTTAACATCTCGCAGGTGAGAGCGACCGGCTTTAGCACATTACTGACATCCTGCCCTCCAAAGTGACTGGTCAAGAGTGGCATTAAGGACATTTCTGACTGATCGCATAACTAGAGACACTGAAGGGTTTGAGATACGCTTCAGATTGCAGTTTACAAATCACAGAGATCCAACTTCTGACAGGAGTTTTCCGTTTATTATGCTCTGCATTTTAGGTTGGTCTTCAAATCGTATTCAAATGCATGAAATATATATTCATAAGTGAAGCTTCAGAATATTAGTGTTGCTTATTTTTTATAGCAGTGGCAGTTAAAACCAAATTATCACAGTTTTATTGTAGTTATCATAACAATGTGCATTTGTTTATTACAGACAGCTTTTTTATCCATATTCATTTACATGAACAAGTAGCAAATACCATTTGCTTGTTTCAATAATTAGTTTCATTTCCATGTGGGAAATCTCAATTTGAATATGCATGAGCAGCTTGAGCACGTGTCGTGAAGTGTGTGTTGTTTACTGTTTTTTAATGCCGTGTGAAGCTTTTCAGGCCTTTGAAAGCATTTAAATGATGTGAAAATTCCCACCAGCTCTCCGCTTAGCATTCACTTATCAAATACGGAGATCATGTTTTTCCCACGGTGCAATTCTGCTGAAGTTTTTAATACTTAGAAACAGATATCTGCTGCTCTTCTGAAGTTCAGATAATTTTGTTCCCATTAATATATTCCCTCATATACTGTGGTCGTTTGAAGATAGAGAGTAAAAACTGATCTGAATAGGACCGCAAACGTCCTGTACGCTACAGAATCACCACTGATTTACAGAACAGAATTGCTTTCTGGATTAAATCCTCTATAAGCAACATGATTTAGCTCGTAAACAGCTTCATGTATAACCTAAATATGATTTCCATTAACAATAAACAAATATACAAAAAGTTTTTCACATCTCTCAGATCTGTCATGATTGTGCTGAAATGCTCTTTGAAAGTAATTAATACTTTTATTGAGCAAGGATGCATTCAATTGATCAAAAGTGACAGTAAAGGCGTTTATTATGTTACACAGGATTTCTATTTCAAATAAATGCTGTTCTTTTGAACTTTCTCTTCATCTGTGAATCCTGAAAAATAAAATGTATCGCAGTTTCCACAAAAATATTGTGGGCAGCACAACTGTTTTCAACATACTGATAATAATCAGAAATGTTTATTGAGCAGCAAATCAGTATATTAGAATGATTTCTGAAGATCATGTGACACTGAAGACTGGAGTAATGATGCTGACAATACAGCTTTGATCACAGGAATATATTACATTTTAACAGATATTCACATATAAACTTGCTATTTTAAATTGTAATAATATTTCACATTTTTACATTTTTTTACTGTATTTTTTGCAGTTGAATCAGTCAAACTTTTAAAGTAAATTGTTCAGTTTGATTTGACAAAGAGTGCATGTAGAAATGCACTTTGCACATTTGTTTGTTGTCAATTAAAATATGTAAAATACAATAAACACACAGTCTGTTCATCTGCACAATTCTCTCACATTATAATGTATCCAGGTAGAAGCTAAAATGTTGTGTGTGACGCTTTAGTATGGAAAAATGTGTTTATGTTTACAGCAGATGCAGCTGTCAGAATCAAATGCATTACATCTGAAACACATTTAACCACTTATTTTATTTTATCTACATATCTGCAGGCATACGTTGTGATTGTGCAGCATTTTGTTCGCCTTTGTAATGCTACCTGACGGCAATAGTTTAAACCTCAAATGCCAGATTTTATTTCATAAACCTGATTTTATATTTGACAGTAAGTCACCATTGACCAAACACGGCACAAAATGCATTTGTTGTACAAAAATACACAAAATGTGCACTTAAAATCAAAGTGAAACCTGTCATTGTTAGCATATGCCATATTTGACTAGTTTCAGTAAATTAACAGTGCTAACTGAGTGGACGCATGGTCTTTGATATCAATGATATCAATAAAAATAAAATTGCGTGTGTATGTGTGTGTGTGTGTGTGTGTGTGTGTGTGAAGGTTATTAGTGTTCATGGTGTATTTACAGTGTCGTCTGGAGCAGCAAACATTAGCATTAGTGTCTCTATCGTCTGTGTGAATCTCAGATGAATCTCAGCATTTTAAGTAATAGACACACTCCCGACTAAAAGGCTGTTTTTAACATTAGGGAACCAAATGATGTTTCTCTCTGAGATGCTGTAGGATTCTTTTGGACGTGATCTGAAGGGTTTTTACCTCATACTTTGTATTAATGATTTATTCAGACACCCGTTTGCCTAAAGTTGTGTAAAATCCAGTCAATAAAAATTACTATTTACTACAGTGAGAAAGTCCTTGTTTGTTTAATGCATTTTAGGGAGTAACATTAAATCTGTATTTAAAAAGATGTTGTATGCAAAATAACAAACTCAGTAATTATGATACGATAATTGGGTGTTTTATTATGTAGAAGGTGCCAGAGGGAAGATGATGTGTAAAATACACAAGTTTTGGGTTTGCTTAATGTTTTTGAAAGAAGTAAGATAATAAAAATTACTATTTATTACAGTGAGAAAGTCCTTGTTGGTTTAATGCATTTTAGGGAGTAACATTAAATCTGTATTTAAAGAGATGTTGTATGCAAAATAACAAACTCAGTAATTATGATACGATAATTGGGTGTTTTATTATGTAGAAGGTGCCAGAGGGAAGATGATGTGTAAAATACACAAGTTTTGGGTTTGCTTAATGTTTTTGAAAGAAGTAAGATCACATTTTTACTGAAAGCAGTAAAAATTTGAAATATTATTACAATTTAAAATAGCTGTTTTCTATGTGAATATATTGTAAAATATTTATAAATGTTTTTTACTGTCACTTTTGATCAATTCAATGCATTCTTTATGAATAAAAGTATTAATTTCTTTAAAAAAATGAAAATCTGTAATATTTACAATACTGTGTGATTCACACACAAACTCTGGTTTTCTTTCTTTCTTTCTTTCTTTCTTTCTTTCTCTCTCTCTGCAGTTTAATCAGACTGAGCACATTTTCCAGGCCATTCGGTTGTTACTGGTGGAGTTGGGCACCAGAGACAACGTGAAGGTGAGCAGCAATATTTACAGTATCAGTACAGTATTTTCCATTTATGATTTCCATTATTTCCATTTTATTATATTTCAGCTTAATGTCCACTAACACAATTTTTTTTAATGGTTTTAGTTTTAGTTCACAATGACAACATTAGTGAGAACAGAATAGAGATGTGTGTGTGTGTGTGTGTGTGTGTGTGTGTGTGTAGGTGTGGTTCTATAATCAGGGTTGGCATTCGCTCGTGTCGTTCCTGAATGTGGCCAGTAACGGCGTTCTGAGAGGAAATCTGCCAGCAGCACGACGAGCGCAAGAGTTCGGCATCACCACATTCAACCACCCGCTGAACCTCACCAAAGAACAGCTCTCATTTACAGCGATGTGAGTACAGCACACACACACACACACACACACACACACACACACACACTGGCATGCACAAGAGCACATGTCTAGAGCATTGATATTATAATACACTACATGTATTTTGATTATGTTGACATGCTTTAATATTTACAGTTACATAGTGATGATTTGGATCAAAATTGTACTCAGAAGTGAGGGAAATATTTCAAAACCTCTATTTAGAGACATACAGTCATGGAAATAATGGTCCATAAAATTGTCCATAAATTAAATTTTTTTTTTTTCTTTTTTTTTTCTTTTGAGGCATATTTTATTATTGTTATTATTTTTATTATTTAATGTTTTTACCTGATGTCTATTTACAATGTTAGTAGTCTTTTCAAATGTTGCACATTTTTTTCATGATTTCCACCCTTTCTCTGATCAATTTTTTTAAGGAATTAATACTTTTATTCAGCAATGATGCATTAAATTAATATTATATATATATACACGATAGCTAAGGCGAGGAGCAAGGAACGCGGATACGAAGGAGAATCACATTAAACAGTCTTTAATAATCCACAGAAAGGCAGGACACACACGTAGCACTTCCATGAAGACGTATAACACCGGGCAAGGGAACACAGGGCAGATAACACTTTAAATACAGGACTAAGCTAGGTAATTAACGAGACACATCTGAGACAATCACACATTGGGAGAAACTGGGTCACGGGGAGCATGTGGGGAGAAAAACACACACAGACAGTCCATGGGCATGACATATATATATATATACAATGGTTTTTAATATAAAGTATGATAATAATAGTAATAATAATAATAATAATAATAAGAAGAAGAAGAAATGTTTCTTGATCAGCAAATCAGCATATTAGAATAATTTCTGAAGATCATGTGACACTGAAGACTGGAGTAATGATGCTGAAAATTCAGCTTTGATCACAGAAATAAATTACAGTTTAACAGATATTCACATAGAAAACAGCTATTTTAGATTGTAATAATATTTCACAGTTTTTTACTGTATTTTTGATCAAATAAATGCAGTCTTGGTGAGCAGAAGAGACTTCTTTCAAAAACACATTAAAAAGTCTTACAGCTCACTTTGCTGAATACAGTTTCCTTGCAAAACTGAGATGTGTTCACTGTCTGAACGTGTGTGTGTGTGTGTGTGTGTGTGTGTGTGTGTGTAGAGATTGTGTGTGTGTTCATGGATAATTAAACCCAGCTTGTGAAGGCGTGTTGATCTCACAATATTTGCTGTGAAGATGAATGCTTTGAAAGGAGAGAAGCGAGGGGTCAGAAATGATCCTCTGCTGTAAATGTGGTTAAATGGTTAAATGACCGTCGTTTGTGTAACGAAGGTGTCACTTCCCTCTAATCATGAATAATACAGTCCTGAAACTCAATCTCCTTCACCTTCATGTGAGAGACTGTGTGATCAGCGTCAGATCTCACCTCAACGGCTGCGAGAGATTCAGTCTAGTAGGTGTAAGCAGCAGGGAGTCAAAAAAAAAAAAAACTAAGAAGAAAAAATAGGGAACATGAAATGTGAGCAGATTTCCCAGAATGCCCTGCTTGAGCTGGATGTTGTGGAGAGCTTTTAAAGATTTATTCTAAATAAAGTGTGACCTACTGAAGAGCCGTTTCTCAGAAACCCAGATGGCATCTGTATTTAAAGCTGATGTTATGATGATACTAGACCAGTGTCTGCAGGTGCTTTTTTTTTTTCTTTCTAAACGTTTTATCAGAATATTGTGTTGTTTTGGTTATTTGTTGGTTATATTTCATGAAATGTAAGATGGTAACCAGCACACTTATGGCGCTTTTCCACTGCATGGTACGGCACGGTACGGCTCGGTACGGTTCACTTTTGGGGGGGTTTCCACTATAACGACATGTGAATAATCCCGCCCATTCTAAAGCGATACTAAACTGCAGTGGAAACACAAACCGAGCCGAACCGAGCCGTGCCGTGCCGTACTGAGCCGTACCGAGCCGAGTCGTACCACGCAGTGGAAAAGCGCCATAAAATACTACTTATACTATTAGATACAGTATTATAGTAGTATTACAAACTATTAATTGTTGGAAGCAGCAATTGTTTCAATTGTTTAATACAGACACAACTTGCCGTCCTCTTGTGTCTGTTACCAACTAAAGAAAAAATGACCTCTCAGCACTTTTTGTGTTTTGTGCATTAATAATTGTTATTGTGTTATTATACTGTTATTTATATGCTTTTCTAGATTTTAAGGTTTTTGATTCATTAACTTTTGATTTATTATTCATTTTACATTTTTTATAGTAATTTTGTTATTGCCATTTTCATTCATTAATTAATTAATTCATTTAAATAAACATTGTTTTATTTTTTATATTATTGTACGTTTCAATTATTTTTTATTTCAGTTTTACTTTTAGCTTAGTTTTAATTGATTATTTATTTCCAGTTAGTAATTGTAGTGCTTCAACATGAACTAATTGCAGTTACTTGCCAAGGTTGTTTAGTTCAAGTTTTTCATTTAATATTTTTATTCTATTTCAGTTAACAAAGATGTTTTTTTAATAGTTTTAGTTTCTGTTATCTATAAAAACCCTGATGACTTTATTACAAAACAAGCTCAGTGTCTGGAAAGCCTTGACTCCATTTCAGTGGCGCTATAATACTGCAAAAGTATACACTTGTTTGTTCATGTGTATCTAATGAATATTTTAGAATTGCGTTGGTACTTAAAGAAAGTAAGGCTGTGTAATGATGTGCCATACAATGCTTTCCAAAGTTTGCATTGCGCACTGGACCCACAGATGGGTAACTATAGCCCTGGATAAGACTGTTTCACAATAGTCCTAATCTTATGCTCGTCTCTTGCAGGGCGACGACCTCTACGGATGTGGTGGTGTCGATCTGCGTGATCTTCGCCATGTCCTTCATCCCGGCCAGCTTCGTCCTCTTCCTCATCCAGGAGCGCGTCAGTAAAGCCAAGCACCTGCAGTTTGTGAGCGGCGTCAACCCCACCGTCTACTGGCTGGCCAACTTCGCCTGGGACATGGTACACCAGAAGCCCTTCTGCTCTGGAAGATGGATGGGAACTAAAAAGAGGAGCTGAGATAGCTAATTAAAACTCTATTAAATTCTATTTATTTCCCACTGAATCCTGTTCACCGCCTCCATTGGTCTAGACAGCGAGACTCTTCTGTCATGAGCTACAGTCTGAGCAGACTGAGATGATCTAATAAATCGCTAATAAATCAGTTAGCATCAATGGAGATAAAAAGAGGTTTCACAACATATGCAGCACAAATATATATATATATATATATATGTAGATGTAGATGTAGAATGTATATGTAGAACCGAAAGTGCAATAATAAAACAAAACTATATATTTGTTATTTTTTTTAAACTGTCAGGGCTACATCAATAAAATAAAATGCTATGGCTCAGTTTGGCCCAAAAATGTATAGTAATAATATTATTATTAATAATAATAATAATAATAATAATAATA